GTTTGGAAGGTCCTGTTCGGTTACGAATGCCAAACAAAGAATCTATCGACACACAAACCTAATCATTTTTGACATGCGATGAATAACTCGAGTGATGGAATAATAACCGTTTGTTTCTGGGTGCATTGAAAAAAATTAAGGCTGGTTTGGAAGTCATTTTTGCTTCTATTTATTCGGTAAATAGTTTTGAATCAGAGAAGGATGTGACGGCCAGAAGGCTGCAAAACTATAGATCGGAAACCGAAGTGTCGGAAGCTCAAGCATACAACCTAATCAAATGGCTCTTGAATTAAAAATATTCATAACAAATCGCTTTTTCATTGAGTTTTTGCTTGTGTTAACTATCGATCTCTTCCTAGTCGTTACCTCTATGGATGCACATACACTTACACATCCCTTATTCCTTTCTGATCTCATATTCCAGTGCAGCGGAGATCCTGTACACCTATGCTCGTCGCTTAATTCTATCCGCTATGAATGAAGCTGCCGCATTGGGAGCGTTAGTTTTTCAGTTGGATAGTCGATTGTCCGAGGCTCGTCGTAATCTTGGTCTGTTTCAGCATCATGATGCTGTGACGGGAACGGCAAAACCTCATGTTGCTGCCGACTACAATCAACGGTTAGTTTCTCGTTCTTTCATTTTTCGCTTGTCCGTTGCTAACCGGGAAGTTTATTATCTGAGGTATACTCATCTCTCTTGCCATATGTTCATCCCTCGATAAACTGGTGTGATTTCAAGGTGATGCTTTGTTCGCTTCGTATTTGTCCGCAGATTGTTGGCTGCATTGCAAAATTGTCGTCTGATTTCTACCATATCCGCCGCAGTCCTGTTACTGATACCACAGCAAACGGAAATTGAAGTTCGAACGAATCCTCCAATGAATTTGGCCCAAGTGGTGGGAACTTTACAGGAGTTGGAAACCGCGAGCTTGACGGAAAATGCGATTGCGGCCCTTCGGAATATCGAGGACAATTACTCTCCTTCCGCCGCGCCTATTCCGTACCGGTTAAAGTTTGAAGCACCTGATTATCCAATGTATGTTTTTACTTGTACATATTGTAATTTGCATGTAAGCGGTGCATATCTTAAATCATCCTGTACAGTATGTTTCTCTTTGTTGTTTCTGTTTCTGCCTGCATTTCAAGCTGTCAGTTCTATGCACATTCAATCACTGTCTGATGCCAGAATTTAACATGTAATTTTCATTATAAACAAGTTTTCATGGTCAACCGATTGATTTATTTGCTTGATCGATTTCTACCGAAGACATTTCGTGTTTCATCTTCCTCAGTTTAATCGTCGGTCATGCGCCCATGATGCGCAAGAAGAGACTGAAGTTTCTTTTTTGCTGGCAGGGGGGAGGGTCACCGTCAGTTTTTAACTTGGCGTCCGGGATTTGAACTTCGATCGCTTCGAACGAAAGGTGTGACACTGTACCAATCAGCACACAAAAGGGATAGCTTAGATTGTCGAATGAGGTTTGTTCTGATGTAGTCTTAATTGACAGTCGATCAGATAACTTGGCCCTTGAGTAATCACAAATAGAAACAGTGTGCTCTCTGTTGACTGCGTTCAGAAACCTTCCATGTAACTCTGGGCACGTTCTCAATTAAACGTAGTAGAATGAATTTCAACTCATAGGTAATTGAAAGTTACTTGCAAGTAGTTATATCTGTCTACGTATTGCCGTTTTCATTTTCTCGCATTCACACGTATTTGATCTATCAGTTGGATCGATAATTTTGTCATCTAAACTTTTCTTGAACTATAAAGTTCAGTGTGAAAGCTTCGTTTCTCCTGTTTTTTGTCATTCAACATGTTATTGAAATATTTGTTATGAACTCCTCATGTCTCTGGTAATGTGGACGTGTCACCCTCGAATCCGGATGGAAAAATATATCCGGGATCGTGATAAATTAATTGTTGGCATGATTCCAATGGAACTAAAGCCGCCTGACGGTGGGTGCTTGAACCCACAACCGTGTGTGTATTCTTTAACAAGAGCGAACTGAAAGCCCGTTAAGTTTGTCCGTTGCTGGAGATCTGTCATTTGGAATGGGGAAACGCACAAGAATCATGGGCATTTAGTAAACATTAATTGTTTAGGTTCCTAGTTCTCCCTAGCCCACTCCGTTTCTCACAGTGGCCACTCACTGATCGTCCGGATGAGATTCACAATGGGTACCAAGTAAACTCTTTATGGGTAATCCACTTCGCTGGGTGTATCCCGTTGTCTGGTCAACGCTCCGGTCGTCAATCTCCCAAAATGGGTAGCGAACAAGATCAGAACGGAATTTTCATTCGACCTCATACACGTACCTTACACAAAGGAAAACATGATCATTATGCATACATGATTTGGCCTCGAGTGTACTAGAAAAAGGGCTCGATAACTGATATTGTTAAGTTTTAGGGCAAAAAGGACGAGCGAGATTGCGCAAATTATTTACCCGTGTGAGTGCTCGTACATTCCACGAAATTCCTGCAATCTGAGGCGGATTCTCATTGTTTAATTTCGTTTTCTCATCTACTTGGGCGATTAACGGGAAGAAAAAAGCGGTCATCCAAAGGACATCCGGAACAGTAGTGGTGGGATTCAAGCACTCGAAAATCCACGTCGCTCAGTTGTATGGTTTACCTCTCCTATTTTTCATCACAAAGTGGTGTGTACCAATGAAAACTAACAGAAGGATCGATAGTACCCATGATGATTTTATCGGTAGGTCGATTTCCCTCTAGGTGTACATTCCGCTAGTCATATTGAAAGAGGCTAACTTTTTTGTTTATGATAAATTCTTGTTAATGTGTAAATGTATTTGTGATCTATTCCATCTGTTTATCCCCTACCTCAGCCCTATTGTTCTGTTCAATCCACTACCCCATCCTCGAACCACCGTGGTTACAATAGAGATGCATGGCACACATGAATCGTTCAATGTGAATATCAGTCCGTCATTTGTTGGTGCACCCCAAGATACCACAATCATTCAAGTTGAATCGCTATCGACAGAGTCTACTCAACCTGTGCGTCTTCGTGTAGGCCCGGTCCATTTGGCTCCATTGAGCGTCTCTCAGCTAGTCTTAATCCCTTCGGAATCGTCTGGTGAAAAATCGGTTTTGGTCTCGCCGGAGCCTCCGGTGTACGTATCTCAATTTCCTCTCTCTCTTTCTGTCTGTCTGTATTCACAGTCGCGTGGAAATTAGTCTCCCGATATCACTATCCCCATCCTTGGTATATGCTGTGACTTCAATCGTCCAAGGTGATTAGATTTCGTGCATTCTTTTCAACCGAAGCGCACGCAACATTGTAAACTCTATAACTTTACAGTGGAAAAGTTGTATTGTAAAATTTTACCAGTTTTCTGGTTAGAAAAACTAAGAAAAGCGCCAGGTAACAGTCAAATTCTTGCGGCATCCATGGGTGACTTGCGATGGTTGTGTCACAGAACGACATCAGTCTAAAGCCTCGCGCAGAATAAATTATCAATGTTATGTTTATTGTTAGTGTGTCCTATCGATTGAGGCTACCATTTGCGCCACTTATGATTTATTTGCCTGTGTGCCTTTTCTCTCGATGCTTGCTTGTCTCGTCACATTCACAGGTGAATATATGTTTACATTGACTTCTTCCTAAAGTGGATTCAACATTTCTGCTTGGTGATGCCATAACTTGATTGTGTGTGTTTCCGTAGCGACCACCATCTGACGGCATTGCATGCAATACTCCAGGGACTGATATCCAATTCTTGAATTGACCTCATTTGCGAGAGTTTAGTTTTCCTGCAGTCTATTCTGTAGATCACAAAATATACCCATTGTTCTATCGGAGAAGTCTGGAAGCGGCAAAGACAAATCTGTTTTGTTGTCGGTCCTTCTTTTCAGGTCAATGTAGTACACAATCGAACATGTAGACGCAGCATAGCGTGACAATCCGTAATATAAGTGCTCATACACTTATTGGGATGGTTAATGTCGCGGAATGTGTCCGAATGGACCAATCAAGGATGAGTCAAACTGGTGTGTCTGTTTCACAATCTTACCGGCCACGGCAACAGTAGGGTCTTGACCAATTGTTTTTGCGAACAATATTGGTTGGTTTAGCCTGATCGCAGTCGCTTCGTCTGTGCACAGGATTCTCTGACTCAGCATTTGATGGATTATATACTCATTCCCAACTGGTTCATCCGGGCGCAGTCCCCAACATCAAACACCGCAATAAATGTATGGGCGCTTACACTACGGATTATCACGCTCTGTTTTGTCTACATGTTCGATTGTGTACTGTCTTGGTCTAATTAGAAGTACCGAAAAACACGGATCTGTATTTTCCACTTCCAGTCTTTCTACTGATTGTTAATCTTCTAACAGATTTTCGGCTGTGCTATTTGACAGAACTTCCTCCGCCCGGAATAGTTATTCAAACGTAAAACCCTACAGACAAACCTGTTTTTTACTATTGTACCCGCGGCAACTTCACTGTGTCTGCGTTTGATGTCGATCTCGAGAAGCACGATGGAACCATTGGCTTACACCACACTGTTTTCTTAATATTCAGATGCAATCACTCTGATGTGCATGTAACTGAACACTCTGAATAGTTCAAAATGACACTCCAGATAAAAACCCCGAAACAATTTTTTTATTACACACCAGTGTGTGCAGTCCGGGTGAATCCCATAGTCACGAAGACCCTCTATTCAGTGAAACAATGTAGGGATCCTCATTTCTTTATTTCGAAAAAGAATTCTTTTGTTGTTTCTCTCTAAAGCAGTTATTCATTTGGGCCATTTTGATCCGTAATACTTGTCCATCGGAAGTTGCACTGATGATGTTGCCTAGCCTGGCTACGAAACGTCTGCGAACAACACTTCCAGCTCGGAGAACACAACCACCAACACACTATCGATGTTCCAACACAACTCTGCGCCGCAACCTAAGTATGATGGGACAACCGGATAAACAATGTCCAGATTAGGTTTAAAGTTTTGACTGATCGCCGTCAGGCACTGATGCAAGTGCTCTAACCGTCTGTACATTGTGGTGTTGGAATTGTGTTACACATGTCGTTGGATACGATATGCGATGTTCATCGAGGCAAGTAGTAGCTATAAGTGAAATAATTTTGCTTTCTTCCCGATACAACTCTCAATTCATTGATACTCTTTCCACCGACCTGAGCATTTCGTTTGCAAACATTCAATCGTAAGCCAAATGATATCTTCGTTGATCAAACTGGTGGATTTCAGAAAAATAAAGATCAAATCTTGAGTTCGTAGAGGTGCAAAGATTGTTCAGCTTGGATTTGAGATGCCACCTACAAATAGTGGCTTATCCTCACAAACACTTCTGGCTTGTTTACCATATTTCTTCAATGCACTGTCTTCATCTGACGTACTTACCTCTGGAACACGTTGATGCATCTTCTTTTTATTATCGCGGTAGCAGCGCTTTTGCAGCACTATACAAGTCTCGGGGATCGACTTAGTGATTGACATCGGTCAGAGTATCTGCACTAGTCGGTCAGCTTCAAACATCAGACCAGCCGCGTCTCTATGTTGGCATACATAATACGCAACTGTTGTCGGAGGGAAGCTTTTCAAATTACATTATCTTGTGGTTACTTTTTATCGTGAAGTTACTACAAGTGTGATTTCATAACCTAATTAATCACTGTAAATATTTTGGTCGCTGAACCGCGTTCTGAAGGGTATTGCCCAGTGAGGATGGTCTGATGCTTGGGTGATTGCATTTAGTCAGCTTGTGTACCACAGCTGTCACTTCAGTCTCGAACAAAATGGACGAACAGCATCATCAATAGCGTTGCCTGTGTTTTATCTGGCTTGTCATTCTGTATGCAGTCTATTGTTCTCAGTTTGTCAAAGACATCTGATTTTTCTTTCGTTTTTTTCTGTCTCTGATGCAGCCCAACGAAAAATTCCAATCTCATATGGCTCAGTTCAGAGTCCATTCGTTTGGGATTCGACGGTACAACCGGCTTCCTACGAGTAAGCACCACCTGAAATGGTTCTCTCTAATCGTAGTCTTGTTGGTTAGTTTGGCTAAGTAATACTACTACTGTCTCCAGTCTTACTGGTCAGATTTTGATTCATAGACTCCAATCGGAGTTTCCAAGGAAATAAAACACTTCATCGGTGTGGGATACCGCAAATTATGTCGTGCTTCAAAGTCTCAGGCACCCATTTGGAAAACATTCTTTCTCATCTTGTCTAGTTTATCCTTTCACTTCCAAATCATACGCCATCCATAGGATATCAATAGGTATTTCATCAGTAAGGTAAATCAGTCAAAAGCTGTGGTATTGATAAATCCATAATCCATTTCACTTGGCTGCACTTCGTGGCCGCACACCATCAAATCGGCCAACAATTTGCCTTGGCTAGAATCAACCACATCCCCACGCTGCACTCTCTGTGCATCGGTTGATTCGCCATCTGGCGCTCGTGGTGGTATCAATGTTAAGATTGCGCTAGATGCTAGGGTGGAGCGGACGCTTTTGGATTTTCTGCAGCCAGTAGCCCACTGCGCTGTACGTCTCGACCGTTTACTACGAGTCGACGTCTACACAACGAAGAATCGATCAACAGATATCGTATTAGGCACTGGTGAGTTCAGCGATCATTTGAGATCCCTAGACGGGTCGGACGAAAACAAACAGATCGCATAACTCAACCTTGCACTAACCACGCATGGTTTTCATCAAGCACCAACTTTAGCGACAAGAAACAACACCGTCGTACATCAGTTTCAGTTCGAACAACCATTAACCATGCACTTTCGTATG